CACAAACACAATATATATTCCAGATCTGCACACCGTCCGCTATCTATCTGTGAGAATATTTCTTAATTTGGATTGATGAGTTTCGAGGAACAGCATAAAAGTTTTTTCTAACTGATTTTCCGAAGGGACATGTTTAGTGAAATGAGGCCCGCGAAAGTTAGCGAAGGTCGAAACGTTGCCAAAATTATTCTCTATCTACACTTTCCCATCCCTGTTACCGCAAGCATTCTCGGACCGCACAGTGGATTTTCTGAAAAGCCTCGCTTTTTCGGCTGTTTCTCAATTTACTCGGCTCAGAAGCACTTTATTTTCACATTGCAAGACACACATGATAACCCAACCTGACCTAACCCACTCATATACAGTTGTTGCTCACTAGTAAGACGGTGCAAGACACACATGACAAATCAACCCAACCCGATCCAGAGATTTAGTGATATATGTGAGATGCTGGCATATAGTAATTCTTTAGGTGTTCAATAAAAGTCACGTATTGTCAACTTATTGCTTATGCTGCTTGCTGTGTCTCACTACTGATGAGGAATTCTGCTTCTGTCGGTCAAGTAAGGTTCGGTTGAGTCGTCTTCTCTATAGGTCGTAATCTCAGGCTCGGGTAAGGTTGAGTTGTCATGTGTGTCTTACACTGTTTCGCTAGTGATAAACAGTTCTATCTGTGTGGATCGGGTCAGGTTGGGTTATCATGTATGTAGTCAGCATATATCCCAACCCACTCATATACAGTTGTTGCTCACTAGTAAGACAGTGCAAGACACACATGACAAATCAACCCAACCCGACCCTGAGATTTAGTGATATATGTTGACTACATACAGGATAACCCAACCTGACCCAACCCACACATATACAGCTGTTGATCACTAGTAAGACAGTGCAAGACACACATGACAACCCAACCCAACCCTGAGATTTAGTGATATATCTTGTCTACAGATAGGATAACCCAACCTTACCCGACCCAGAGATGTAGCGATGTTGATCACTAGTAAGACACTGCAAGACACACATGACAGCTCAACCTAACCCAACCCAGAAATTTAGTGCAGTATATGTTGACTACACACAGGACAACCCAACCTGACCCGACCCAGAGATGTAGCGATGTTGATCACTAGCGAAACACACCTACATAGACATGACGACTTAACCTAACCCGCGCGCTATAAGGGCTGAGACGTTCTAGGAACTGATAAGTGCCTTGCTGTTGTCAAAACTCTTAAGGAGTCACTATTTGCCATCCTCTCAGAATCAGGAAAAAAACAGGGGTAACGAGGTAGATTTTGAAATGTAAAAAAGCGTTAGAACTCACCGTCGTCCCCATAAGTTTAAGAATTTCTTTCGCTGAATTTATAGTATAATCGCTGTATTTCTCCATCTTTGACTCCTTTTTCTCTCTTTGTTATAAGCGTATATTTTATGAACCACAGAAAAATGAAGATTAACCTCGATTCATCTTTTATGACCCACGTTCACTCTGGATTCCGATGTTTCAAAGTAGATAAAAGACAAGGATAAAGTAGACAACTCTATGAATAAATACTAGAAAAATATCTCGGTATTTACTCAAAGTATTAATTTGATTTAAATTAGTTCACAATGTTTTTCCTAGAAACCAAATTACTGTTAGTGTTCTCAAAAAATTCGAATTTCTAACTCTCTCCGTTCTCCTCTAGTTTTTGTAAAAACTTTCAGAGCTTTCCTTCAGCAGAAGAAATAACGGAGTTTTAAGTTCAAAAAGGTTTTGGGGACCAAATGGCTGTTCTTGCACTCTCTGTTACTCCTCTGCCCTCCTCCTTAGGGGTGGTAGACCGGTCAGGACACGAACGGTGTAGTGGCTTGTGGTTTGCAACTGACTGTTTTGTCTTCTCCTCTCACTAGTGCAGGCTCATCATCTAACATATCAACGACAATACCAGTAGTGGTCGAAATAAAGGTGTATTCGTACTAGAGCGAGAGCTAGATATTTCTTGTGGCATAGTTTAAGAAGAGCGGTAGGCAGACTAATGAGTACCGATTATATCTTTGTGCGTATATCCAGAAAGAAAGTTTTCACATTTTTGCCCCCTACGGTAATGTTCACAAGCTTTTTGAGTTATAGTGCAGCATTGTTGTTAATCTTGTCAATGTTACCTTTCTCCATCAATGGAGACTTTATTCTTGCATGTTGCTTTAGGTGACTTAATATTCACCTCGTTGTATCCTTGTTATAAAAGGATTGCCGAAGTCTCTGCTCAGTTAACATAAAACGAAGGTAAGACATTTTAACTCTAGTTATAACTACTATCCGTACCAAAAAGCAGTAACCCTGGCTGTTTTCCACGGGTGGTAGTCTTTAAACTCGTTACGAGATGAAAAATACTAATGTCTTCTATTACAGTGGGAAGCTGTTTTGAACTCGTTACGAGTCCAAATGAGTGCTATATTCTAATATGAGTTGAAAACTGTGTTATGTTCTAATATAGTACACGACCTTTCTTTGCAAAGTTATAGAATTTACAAGAAAAGCCCTAAATGTTCATTGTCAGCTAAAAGCTACAGGAATAAGAAAAAAAATTAATAAAGGGCTTTTCTTGTAAATTCTATAACTTTGCAAAGAAAGGTTGTGTAGAGCTGGAGATACTTCAAGAACCAGACATTAGCAGCTCTCATGTTTCTATCTGGGATCAGCATGGTCCATAACGTACAAAGAACTGGCTTTGAAGTCAAAAATGATGTGACAGTTGGATATGTTCCCTCGTGAGACTGAAAAAGTCGTGACTTACCCATGTCTCATCTTAGTGAGAGTTCGCTTACATTTGTCTAAGATCGCGAGACCCGAAAATTCTAAGGTTCGATAAGATTTTTCTAAGATCATACTAAGATATTTTGAAGACTGGATAAGAATCTGTTAGGATCTTAGTAGTAAGAACAACGACGTTTTCTTAATCATATTCATTCAAGATTCGCTGATAACTTTCGAACTTTTAATCCGCATTATCCAAGCAGCAATTGGCGTTGAAGAATTAAGAGAAATTTCATATTTTCGAGTGTCCAGCTATGCACCATGATCTGTATGTATAGTCTCTAGAAAGTTGTTGGACGCCTTCGAGAGAGCAAGTACTGGCAGAGTCTGAGAGAAAAATAATCGCAAAATTACTAATATTTTCGGTGTTATTTATATAAATGAATGAGAGCAAAACAAAGGAGTGAATGAAAGTAGAGTCATTAAGTCGTATTAAGATCTTGAACGGTAAGATCTTAGATCATTTTGTCAAAATCTTAAAGGATAAGATCTTATAAGATCTTAGTAAGATAATTTTAAGAAGTATCTACGATTTTTACTAGGGCTTGATAGCTCGATTAATGTTGATCCACAGCCCGCTAAATTATGAAACGAAGAGTTGTTAGTATTGTGTTATTAATCTAGATGAATCTTGAATGATGAAATGGGCACTACAGTTCAGCTAAAATGCCAATTATTATCGTATTCTCTGGTGCAAGTTCGATATTCAACGATACACCTGGATAGAGACTTTTCATCAGCCGATAAATATACAATGGCCATCGACGAATCCAACTTTTCCAACCTCTAGTTAAAACAGCAATTGTCTCGTTTGACATAAAAAATGTTATGTCTGATTCTTGTTCTGGCACCGGTACATTGTACAAAATTCTGGCCAGTTTCAATACATTAAATAAATTAATATATGATTCTGAATAACCAAATATGGCTGTAATATGATATATTGTTTCACCATATATTTTCACTAATAAACGCTTATCATCATCTACAACAGGAATGCGAGCATATTCAATTTTGAGAAAAATAATGGTTTGTGGTATAATGTGCGTCCGTCTTAAAAAACTTTCGAATACATGAGGAGTATATTTTCGCGAATTGGTCAAAAAACAGCCTAGACCAGACATGATATTTAATTGTTCCTGATTAATGAGACTATTCTGTGAAGATATCCGAAGATCGGAATCTAATGATACTTGCCGTTGGTGTGGAATTATTGCAATATGTGATTCTGTATCTGAATCATCATCTTCTGCGTTGTTATTATCATCGATTACTGGAGCCGGTGACATCTCGCTGATCGATTTTACTCCCAATCTCATCTGTAACTCTTCTAAACTTTTTGTTTGCACGTATCCATGAAAAAACTGTTTTAAACACCAATTACCGTAAAACCAACAAAATGACAACAGAAATAGAACAACAGCAATCAAGATGGCAACCCATCCTCCACTAGGAACTTTGACAACGTTAGCCGCCAATGTGTAACCATCAATGACAAGAAAGATACCAAATAGAAGTACAAGCCATACAGGTTTTGACCATGTCCATCTCATCACCATCATGTATAAAATTGTGGTTAACACCATAACACTACACACTGTTACACCATATGCATCAGTGATATGGTCACTTGTCTGAAATCCAATTGTTACCGCCAATGTTAATATTAGTAAAAAATAATTGACAGCTGGAACATATATATGACCAATAATTGTTTGTGATGTATGAATAATTTCAAAGGGAACAGAAAATCCGAGAGCTACAGCTTGTGATATTAAAGAAAAACTACCAGTAATAATTGCTTGTGATGCGATTGTGGTGGCAACGATCGAAAATACGAGTACTGGCCATCGAGCCCAATGTGGAACAGAATAATAAAATGGATTTGTAATTGTTGATGGATCCAAGATAAGTAGAGAACCTTGACCAAGATAATTTATTAACACGGCAGGAAATACCAGTGTAAACCAGGAGAAACGAATAGGCCACCGTCCAATATGACCTAAATCAGCGTACAGAGCCTCAAGTCCAGTAACGGCTAAAAATGTGCTACCAATTTGATAAAATCCCGTCCTTTTTTCCCGTATAAGATAATGTAAAGCTTCCCAAGGATTGAATGCTCGTAATATAACAGGTCTGAATGTTATACGCCAAATACCGATTATTATTAACATTATAAACCTGTAAATGAATATATAAATAATGTATTCTGTAAAAATTCAATAAGATTTGTAACTTGCCAGATAATCATGATCGGTCCAAATAGAAAGCCAATTTTTGATGAACCCCATCGTTGTACAAAAAAGAGTAACACAATGATAACAACAGTTATTCTCACCGTCCATACCTTTAGCTCTGGCTGAGCTACTGTAAGACCTTCCATGGCTGATAAAATCGAAACAGCTGGCGTCAGTGCACCATCACCAATTACTAAAGAAGCAGCTAATAATGCTACAATACTAGCAAAATATTTTGCACGTGCTCGTAATTTACTGGATTCTCCAGTGAGCAGTCCGCAGAGTGCAAAAGGACCACCTTCGCCACGATTATCTGCCATAAGGATGAATATGGTGTATTTAATTGAAACAACTATAATTAAGTTCCATACAATTAGACTTACCGCACCAATACACTGTTGTTCCGTCGGTTCATCATCGAAAACTGCCTTAATAACATATAATGGAGATGTTCCACTAAAAGAAAAACAAAAGTCCATGAATATTTTTAGTTATACAAGACACTAAAAATGCTTACATATCGCCAAATATAATTCCAAACGATCGTATTGTTAAACTCAAAAATAAAGAAAAGTTATTAAACGGTGATACACGACTGAGACCTTCATCTGAGCGAATAATGGGTGGTGCATCTGCTCTATCAATTGTGTTGGGTGTCTTCTTTAAAATACCCGATTTTCGTCGTCTTTTTAATGATGGTTCAGGTACATGACTACTATCACCAGTTTCGCCGGCTGTTGAATTGACTGAAAGTTCGTCGGCAAAACGAACAGTTGAAATTGCTGAATCTGGAAAAATTAGACAAAAATTTTTTTGATATCAGCAATAAATGTAAACGTACACGGGTCATCACCTTGCTTCATTTTTTTTTTTCTTATCAAAAGCACATGATCATGATATCTATTCTTTTTACTATTCAGGTATATGATCCAGTTAAGGATTAAACATTCAATATTTTTCTTTCTTTCTATCATTATGTGATTCATGAATCAGAAACACCTTTTTTGCACACCACAAGTAACTAATTTTTGTTCTATTCAGTCAGATGGGATAATAATAAATACTTTTTTATGTAGAGCAAATGATACTATACTTCACATCATTTTTCATTATATAATCTATGTAATTTCTTCCATCGATGCCGTGTAAACGACTCTGCTTTTACTTCGTTTTGTCATTCAGTTATGCATTTTTTTTGTTTTATTTTTTCGTAATGAAGAAAGATGTCGGCTCCACCCGTTTACTTCGATTGAAAGCATAAAACTAGTATTTTAGCCCAACTGTAGTGCACATTCCTTTCATCATTTAAAAGAATGAACAAATCAAACAATTATCCATGTTATACTCGATATAGTTAATAAGAAACGTGCGTGCTGAGCGAAATATGCTTTGATGTAAACGATGTGACGCATAAGAGAGAGCATATTGTAAACGATCGTTCTCATACTTGTAAATAATTTCTAGATTAATAACGCAATAAGGTGCTGGAAATGAACAGATTAGCAAAACTTTTTTTTCTTTAAATTATACATCGTTGAATAGCGTTCGTGATGCTGACCACGAATATCTACTTTGTAATGTTTTCTGACCAAGTTTCGGATGAAAAATCGTGAAAATACCATTTGCTACGAAAAAAAACGAAAAATAGACCAATCCCCCAAGAATATTTGAAATTTCTGCTATCCACTGACACTTTAATTTCTGGAAAGTATATTATTCGGTTTGAGCATAAAAACTTGTAGAACAAAGTAGATTTTATCGAATTTGATTGCAACTCTCTCATTCGGTAAGGCTCACTATAAGCGCGAAGGCGCACAGTAACCCTCCGATCATGCAAACCTACCTTCTTTTTTGTTTCGAAAGATAAAATAATTCAAAAACACTCGGGTTTTCGAGATGTAAGTAAGTCCTGTAAGTTTCGTTCAATCCATAATGGACAAAACTTAATCATCAGTGGCACACAAGATAGTAATCGGTTTGCTTCCTAATGAGGAAAAGAATGGCAGAAAAACATTTGCTATTCTGCCATGTGTTCTCTCTCCCAACAACATTGCGAGAAAACGATAAGAGACACTAATTGGGGTGGACAGAACACATCTCCTTATTGGTATTTAGAACTATGCATGCATGAAGCTCAGGAATTTTAGTGATCAGTAATGATTGATCAGATCAGAGAAGACGTGTTTTCTGACTAAAGGGACTTACTTACATCTTGAAAATCCGGGTGGGTGTTTTGAATTATTTTATCTTTCGAAACAAAAAAGAAGATAGGTTTGCGTGATCGGAGGAGGGTTAGTGTGCGCCTTCGCGCTTATAGTGGGCCTTACCGAACGAGAGAGTTGCAATCAAATTCGATAAAATCTACTTTGTTCTACAAGTTTTTGTGTTCAAGTCAAATTTTATATTTTCATCTAAATGTTCACTGCACTCTCTAGTGCTCTCTAAAAAAAGTAGCTTTATTATGAAATCTAAAAGGGTATTGAGAAGTGCAACCATTTCGAAACCGTTTTAAGTTTCGTATGAATCCTTTTCGGGTTTCATACTTCGACTACGAAACTTTTATGTTCGCCCAGAACCATAAAAGGTTTCGTAGTCGAAGTACGAAAGGTAGAGTATACTCTATATTCTGCCAACTTGAGAGATTAAAATACAATTAACTAGAATAGACCACTCCTCGCTTTTATGCTAGTTTGAAGTACACGAGTTCTATCCTATGCCGAGCTTCTTTTTTTATAGGAGCGTGCATTTTAATTTTTGAAATACAGGGCTGTCAATATCGGAGCTGAGCACGAGACGAAGATGCACTTTTGATGCCAGCTGACAAACGCAATCAGTTCTTAAAGCCGTTCTCGACTAGCATGGCTTTCCGGCTTTCTCTTCTTATACAGGGGCGTACCGACAGGGTTGGGGGGTACCGTCACCACTGCCCCACTCCTAGTTTCAGCAAATTCATTGTTATGTGTCTTTTGTTTTTCAAAAGACCATTTTTTTGGAAGAACGATAGTATATTTAATGTAAACGAACACAGGAGAGTTTATTGGATAGACAGATAGACAAAATTAACGAATATATGCTTTCTTCGTAGGACGAAATGAAACTTTAAAACCCTATTGCTGTACTGTCAACTGGCATATCAATAGTGCCGCTTTGGATATCGTTGAAACTGTCCGCTCTACGAAAAACACCGATAGTGCTGAGGCCGACGGTTTAAACTTAAAGCTCATTCAATCAACATTGTCTGTTACTTTAAAACATCTTCTGCGGATTTTCCAGTTATCTGCATTGATAGGACTTTTGCCAGACCCTTAGAAAGTTGCAACGATAGTACCTGTACACAAAAGGGGCGGCTACTCTTATTGAAAATTACAAAACAATTTCTCTTCAGTGTGTTGCTGGTAGGTTATTATCGACAACCAACCATAATAATTGCTGACTGATAATGATCTTTTGAACTCGGCTCAATTTGGAATTAAACTTTCGTCTTCCATTATTGACGGCCTTCTGCGTGTCACTCCACATCTTTATAGTACCATTAACAAAAAAGAGAAGGTCAAACATTATTGTATCGGCTTAAGTTTTAGTCTATCTGAGGCCTTCAATCGTGCCTCATTCAGTTCTTCTTGTTAAACTTCAAGGTTTCGGACTTTCTGATAGGGCTTTTGACTGGTTCTTTTCTTATTTGTCAAATCGTTAAAGTAGGAAATGAATTATCAGAGGTCGCTGGTACCTGCAGGTGTACTGCAAGAATCAGTACTAGGTCTTTTTAGTTTTTGAGCAGAGTGAATAGAGTTTAAATGAGTTTTGAAATTATTATCATATACACTACAGCGACTCAATAATTTAGTCACTTTTAGTTTTGCTCTTTATTTACTAACAATTGCGTCAACTTTCGCATTGAACAGATTACTTGCTGACTGCTTTGTCTTACGTCTTCTCTGAAAATGTGGCTCTATTGCCAATATTCAAAACTTATTCTAAGAGGAAACTGGTAGTACTGCTAGGAGTTGAAAACATTGGCAAATGTTCATGGGCTTGTTTTTGTTTAGATCCTAAGTTTGAGGCAAACTTGTCATTTTTTCTTGATATATTCTTCGTCTCATTGTTGCAACCACTAACTGCACATTTTCTTCTAAATACTAGTTTTTCTGTTTTTACCAACTATTCTATCTAGTACATCTTTCGTTCTTAAGCACGCATCGCAGAATGCACTTAATAACTTACTATGGACGAGTGGTAACGCATAAAAAAATTTCGCTCAGCCGACTAACAAAACTGCGTGTGTACATCGTTACACAGAAGTACTATCCCAAATTCTGAGAACTATTAAATCTTTATAGGAGTAATTTGAACAGGAAAAACTGGTGAAGTTGCTGAGTCTAGCACTATATCATTATCATAAGTGGAAGGAATACACTATAGATAAATGTTGGGGGTATGGAGATGTACTTTTGGGGCACCTTCAGTCCCCTGCTTCCTCCATATTTTCAAGAGCTGTATTCTTTCAATTATTGAGTCGCTGTAGTGTATATGATAATAATTTCAAAACTCATTTAAACTCTATTCACTCTGCTCAAAAATTTACTGCTAACATCATTTTTAACGATTATATCTCTAACAATAACAGTCTTGCACAAAAAACATAGCTTTCTAATCTTTATTTAGTGAAGAAACTATTTTCGTACCTTACAAGGTTCTACAGATACATTTCACGGGTAAAAAAATTGACAAAAAAATGCGTTTGTTTTCGTTTTAACGACCATAAAACGCGTTAAAGGTTTCAAAACCAACGCTTTTTTTGTCGTTTAAACGCGTTTTTTTTAATCTGTTCGTTTCAAAACGCGTTTTTCGGAAATTCGCAACGCGTTTTTCGATGAATGTGAACGACAATGAAGACGTTAATTAACGCGTTTTGAAACGATTCAAGAATACAAACAGAGGGAAGATACAGAGGTTTAACCATCAACTTTGTCTTACCATTCTTTCACTTTTCTCATTCGGCCATATCCTCTTGACATTACATTAGCTGACAACAAACTAATGGAGAGCAGTAAAATGAGTACTTAAGGAAAAATTTCAATTTGAAGAAAAAATCGTTAGAAACGGCACGAAAAACGCGTTTTTCCGAACGCGTTAGCAAATGACCGTTAAAGGAGCTGTTTAAAAGCCTTTTTTGTCGTTTAAAACTGTAGAATAACGCGTTCTTAGACAACGCGTTTGCTAACGATCGTTGAATTAGCCATTTTCTGGCGTTTTGTTGAACGCTTTTTCTAACGACGTTAAAATGATATAACTTCGAACTTTTTTCTTTTTGTAAACGCGGTTAGAAACTCCACATTAAAACGCGTTTCAACGACCACTTTAACATCGTTAGAAAACACGTTCAAAAAAAACGCCAGAAAACGGTTAATTTAAAACACATTATTCTAAACTTCTGAACGATTAAAAACGCGTTTAAACGGCTCTTTCGACAATCGTTCGCTAACGCGTTCGGAAAAAACGCGTTTTTTGTGCCGTTTCTAACGATTTTTTTCGCCTCGGATGTAACTTCCATCTATGATTCACGTCAGCACAGAAAATGAGGAACCTGGACTATACGAAGGAATAAATTAAGGACAAAATGAGAAATGATCACGGAAATAACATGCTTTTGATCCTGACTGACGAAAGTCTGATAAAAACATGCAAAAGATCTTGGTTACGAAAACTAAATCTTTTTATGTTAAAAGCATAAAAAAAATCATGGCAGAAAGCATGTAATGTATCCTGCTCATCTTTATGACCAGCAAACACGATTTAGATCTCGTACGTTATACATATTCTACAATGATGTAGCGATCTAGTTAGTCCAAGTGTAGTCAGTTTG